CACACCATTTCTACCCCTGATTTCTATTAATTCACTTTGCAAATTATATGAAATAGTGACATGTGTCAAGCATCATTTGTTCTCTTACATTTTCCACATGGAAATAAACATGTAGAATAGTAGGTTTTGGGGAGACTTGCTGGTCGACTGGTTGATTTTGTGCATCTGTTATTACATTGGTGTTAGTGAAGGCTATGACTTATACTTGGAAGGGAAAAGGGATGAGGCTTGTGATGTTAGCTTACTCCTGCGGGAGGTTTGTTCCAGAGCTCTATCAGCTCCCTCAAAGCTCCGTCTTTTACAAAGAGCATCTTTACACATGGAAAGAAGTTCACTGTGTCATGTCAGTGCCCTTGTACAACACCCTGGAGCTTCTGATGGGTCTTTAGCGTTCTCCAGCCCAGGCCTCGAGGATGAGAATTGAGCCTTGCCTTGGCAAGCTGGCACAGATCTAATCTGCCAACTATAGCCTCTGACGTATTTAGCTCCTTAAATATGCTTATGCTTTAAGGAGCATATATGCTCCATAAATTAAGTCTATCTGAGCAAAAGTAAAGTTAGGAATCATTCCTGAAGGCATAGCTACAGTGGAGTCTGAAATCCTTAGTCTTATAAGTGTTATTGTTTGTATGTTGAGTCCTTCTAAACCAGTTGTGATACTAAGTCCAAAAGTAATTCAGCTTGTCTAATTAATAACCCCTATAACAACAGAGATCTCACGTCCTCAAGATACCCATTTACTTTATCCTGTGTGTTGTGTACTAATCGTGTGTCTGTTAGGAAGTTGGTCTTTTGGTCTTTAACTGGCAGTCTTTTCTGTCACTAGGATTGCACCCAAGCGTGTGCTGGCCCATCACTGCGCCCACCTGGCCTCGTGTGATCCTGAGTGCAGGCCTGGAGGAAATTCCAGTGTATGGGGCCAGTGGAATGGTCCTATCCAGCCTTGGCACTTCTAAAATGTTCTGATGTTGCATGTTGTTGATGACTGTTTTTACATTAATGTGCATGGGGCTGAAGCCTCAAGCCATCTACTAATTCACAGGCGTCCGGAGGTTGTCGTGCTGTCACAGTTTTGCTACGGAAGCTTTTCTGACAGTAAGCCTGAGACGCAAAGAGAAGTGATAAAGTATAACATATGGTTGTGTAAGGCAGCTTTTACATCAATTGTGCTAGCAGTTCCAGGGATTGCTCCGGTTCATGCTTTCTTTCATAGTGTTCCTTTCACTTACTTTATGATAGTGCTGTAGAGAAATGGCACCAAAAGCTTTGCTACGTATCAAAACAAATAACTTTCTTATTTTATGTGGTAAAAGAGCAGCAATATACTACACTTGCATTAAAACTGAGTTGTTGCCACTTTGTAGAGTTGACCATGCAACCAGAACGTTTTGCTGACAGTGATTTTTAGGCAACCAAATTTGCTAAATGTACAAAATGCAGGCCAATCACTCTTCAAATGTTTTGACCTACTTTCCCCTTGAACTCATTCCAAAATAATAATAATAAGAAATAACTATGGAGAGAGCAGATTACACAGCTCTACAATTTCACTGATGGGAATGTGAATGCCATTAAAGTAAAAGTGCTTCCTGCTGGCAGACCAAGTATGTATTTGTGCGGTTGTAACTTCTCAATGCTCATTCAGATTTTGGGAGAGATACAAGGCCAAGGAAGGACACTTATGCTGACTGAAACAGAGTTCTTTTAATTTAGTGGGCCATTCTATTGTTCTTCTTCATTCATCTGTGTAAAATGCACACTATGGAATCTAGAATTTTTTTTTTAAAGTTAAGTCCAGATTTCATTTTCACAGGGCTTAAGGTAAATTCAGAAAGACTTTTCCTTACAATAATTTGTAATTTCAAGTAGCTGGTGAGTGATTACTTATTCACTTCTATATATTCCTACAGATATCTTCCTGAATCTTCTAAGTTTGCTGCTTTAAAAAAATAAATTAGTGACACAATTTTGCTGGGCTTCTCCCTTCACTCCATCCATTCTGTTTTAAAGTAATTATCTTCTTAAGGCAGGGTTGTAGATGTCCTCAGAGGTATGTTTAAAAAGCAGATCTGTAGTCTCCTGTTTTTAAACTGTTTATAAACCTACGTAAGGTAAGGACAAGCTGATTTTGTCAGTTCTGAAAATATCATCTTAAATTCCTGCTTTGCAGGCAAAAGGTATTAATGGACTTTAAAGAGGAGAGGGAGTTGACAGGAAGAATTGATCCCTCCCAATCCAAAACAAATAACCAGAACTGCTGCATTTCCTTCCTTTCAGCATCATACAAATTGTACAGTTTTAGTGTTCCTCCCTTAATTTACCTCCCCCAGCCTCTTGGGAGAATTGTTCTGTCATTTCCAGTAGGAAAATGATTTGCATAAACCAGTTCCTTTTCATGATTAGATTCAGGAAATCAGGATTATAATCTGATAGTGTTTTGCTTTTGTCCTGGAAGTTGTTAAAATGAGTCATCTAGTAACCTCTAATCCCATTTCTAACCATATACGGACATGTAGAGGACTAAAAATGAAGGCAGGTTTCTGTAACTGACATATTCAACACAGTCATCTTCTTTCTAGGATCTTAATTCTGCAGGCAGATGTTGAGAGGTAAATGCACACCAAGTGCTTTGCCTAGGTAGGGCCTATGTGAGCTAGGAACTGTCCTGTGAACATGATGCATATTTGGAACAGCAGAAGTTCAAAAGGGCTTAAAAAATAAGTTATACAAGTAAGTTATACATATGCATAAACAGTAGTGCTGTAGCTCTCTCCCACTGAACTAGTTCTCTGCCAACTGCATGTGTCCCTGTTCTTCCCTTCAGTCAATAACTAGTTGTGCTGACATTAGTCCAAAAGAATTCTATTCTGCACAAATAGTCTTCCTTGTATCCTAAATTCTGTCTATTAGATTATTTGATTAAAGAAACACATACCTTCTGCCAGCATCAGAGGGCAGCCTCTCCAAAGCAAGCACATGCTTCTTTTTTGTTGTCTCAGATGACAGATCTTAGAGGTTGCACCTTCTCCTTGGAACCAGACTTGGCGAGTTACAGCTCGCTTCTGGGAATGGTGTATACAGTTCAACACATAGTGCTTTTGCTGTTCCTTCTCTTTTTGGTAGGAAACAAAAGGCAAACTGCAACAGCCATCTTTTCAATGGGAATTAGCAAGTCCCTTTTCATAGGCAGGGCTGCATACGTATGCATAAAGGACAGTAATTTTAACATCCATGTTGGTGAAGGAATGTTCTCAACAGACATAAACTTGAGGAAGAGTTGTGCAACTTGGCCCTTACTCTTTTAATTTGGAACACTTCTGAAGAGGAAAAATAATATTTAGATTAGGATCCAATGCTCTGGGTTGTCTTTTAGCTGACAATAAGAATTTTGTAACAAATGTAGTGTTCTGTGTTATGCTGAATTTATTCTCTTTATGATGGCTTCAGTTTTTAATAGCTGTATTTACCACTTATTGAGAATTAGTTTAATCAAATGCAATAAAGCTTAAAACAGGAATCCCAACCTTTAGTTGTACCTGAGGTGATGCTAATTTGTATAAAGGTAGTTCATGGATCAAAGCTAGCTGCACAGTCAGGCACCCTCTCCCCAGCTTGCCATACTCCACAGAAGTGATGGTGGCCCTTGCTTTCAGGGTGGGCCTGAATGATGACAAGGATGATGGAAAAGTATCTGGGAGCACAGGCCTTTCTACAGAGCTCAGCTACTAGTCAGGAGCTATCTAGTACAAGTGGCAGCTGAATCATTTTCTATAGCATTTTTGTGTGCCTGTGTGCTTGTATCTCTTCCACTCATCAGTGCCTATGCCTTATTCGCATTATATAAATTATCTGATGTATATGGACTAAGAAAATAGAAATCTTGCTCCTTTTTTAATGATAGGCATCTGCCATGGAAAACCAACTATTTTTGATCAAATAGCATAGATTGGAACAGCTCTATAGAAGCCATATAAATGAAAGCTCATGAGGCTTGACTTTATCTTAAAGAAATGAATAATAATGAGAAGTTTAAGTGACACTAAGCCTGAGAGAAGTTAAAGGCTCCACCTGGGGCCACTCAGCCCTTCCTTTAGATCCTTTTTCCGTGAAGCTAGTTGCCTTCCCTGGCGCAGCTGGGTATGTAGCCAGGCACCCAAGCAAAGTGGTGGGGCTGATGCCTGCTCCTGGCGTGGCTGCGTGCAGAGAATCCACGTGTGGTTAAGTTGTCTGCATCTGTAGCTAGAAATAAACCTCCTAGTGAAATAATGAAATACCAGGTAGGAACAGAGTGACTTTGCCATGCCTGTTTCTTGTGCAGCTCTATATAGCATCGTAATATTACCAATTTCCAGTAAAATGAGTGAGGGATAAAACACCTGCAAATTGAAAATACTAAGGCAATGAGCCTGACAGCTCAAGAAGATACTGACAGTAGTTAGCCAAGCTAAATTAAGGCTTGGTATGGGAATCAGTCAACAGAGAGGTAGGAATAGATGGCCCTTATTTTTCATCGTTACAAGACGTTTAAACAAAGCTTGTAGTAGAAGGCCTGTAATGGTAAGCAGTTATTCTACCAGGCTGTTAAATCAAATATAAATCTCTCAATTGCTCAGGACCAAATATGAAGCCAAACTATTGATATCCGACTGAGTCTTTATTCATAAGCATCTGTAACTTGCTATGTGGAACCACTTTTCAGATAGCCAGATATTCTCTGGAGAAAGGAAGTTTAATGCTGTCTGTATGTGAGCACAAGAGACATTTGCTATCTTGATTTTGCATACCCTTGGCTAACATATAGGAGATGAACTATTCATCCTCAGGCTAGACAGTAAAGTTTCCTTTATGCTTTTGGTATTCTGTTCACCTACGAACACTGTGGAGCAGGATATGGGCAGTAGTTGTAGAGAGAGTTCTGAGAGTTGTTCTGGGTTTTCCTTCTCTCCACTTTATGCAGACCTTGCTGTTTCTGCTTCATTTATCCTGACAAAAGTGCCCACAGTCAGGCTCCATGCCATATGCCTTAAGTACCCAGCTTGTGCAGTGTTCTTCTTGCCAGGGATCCCTTTTCAATTGAAGGATGAAAAGTTGGGTTGATTTAGGATGGCAGGCCTTTCCTGGTTGATTCTTTCATAGTGATGCCTTCCTGAAGGAGGACCCTAGAAAATCCAAAGGGTGTGTTCATGAAAGCTCTTTCCTTAATTATATCCAGTATATAGAAATAAATTTTTTTGAAGTGACAGGAAGGCCTGCATAAATAGTGACTATTCTTCCGCATGTTTCAATTAGTTTCCCCATCCTGCTTAGCTTTGATATTTAAAGATATAACCAAATTAACAATGAAGAGCACATTCATCTCCTTCATCCTCTGCAATTAGTTTGTTTTTAAATCTCCACACTGGTCTGCTTTCAACTGGTACTCTGAAGTTTATCAAACACAGATTCGATGATAAGAAGGCAAGTAAGTAGTACGCTGATGTGCAATTTAAAAAAAAATAAAATCCATCCGTATTTTAGTGCTTAGAACTGGACGCATATTTCATATTCAATATTTTCATAGTACTCTTACACCAAACTTTCTTCTCATTTACTTTCACTAACACCAAAAGTGTTACATCCTTGGAAATAAAAGGTGATTTGTGATGAATTTTTCCAGTCTTGGCTTGGTACCTTTAGCATGATATTTTTCACACTGTAATAGTGTTTTCTGTTCAGGGGCATTGAAGGGTACAAGGCAGTATCCTTCAAAAAACAACAACAAAAAATCCAGAAAAAAACCCTAGAAAACCACCCTTCTATGTGAAATTCTTCTATGCTGTTATCTAGATTCTCAAATAATGTGAACAAAGCTATCTTGAATTCCGTCAGAGGAGCTAGCATTTTGTTTTCAGTAACTTTTCCATTTACTGGTCTATACCTTTAAGAAACTAGCTGGGTAGTTTGCAGCCAGTGACACAGTTCTGGCATTTTCTTTTTCATTTAAATAAAAGAATTCTCATGAGAAAAAGAACTCTACCTGTGAGATACAATTCCCATTTCTCATATGTTACCTTATAAATGTTTCTTCTCTTTCTGTAATGAATTGAACAGGAAACTCTGCCCTTTCCTTTGAATGACTCATGATGTAATGCACTCACAGATTAGAAACACAGTTTGAATAATGTAGGACATGGCAGTAAGTGAGGTTTTGCCCATTGCATCACATTTATCCTAGTGGAAACTTAATGCTCCATCCTTGTGCTAATATTAGAGTATTTAGAGCATTGGTGCAAAAAGCCTTGTTGAAGTTCTTTTATGGTTGTTTACTTTTCCTGTGTTTTAGGAATGTGCTTTTGGCATGTAAAAATTTTAAACTCATTTCACTGCAAGTGTTGTTGGTTAAAGTTAAGCATAAAAAGCATCTTATTAATAACTTATCTGTAGCTTTTGAAGAAGTCTGCAGGATATCCTAGTGCACATTAATTTTAAGGCAAAACAACCTCTGATCTTGCTGATCTGGTGTTTAATAGTCATAAGATTTGCAGGGCTGAGCAAAACTCTTAGTGGACTTGGTGAATGAAGGAACTCTACCATTACACTAACCTATGCATGTCCCATTCATTGCTACTTTGTACACTTTGTTGTCTTTTAAGCTATTAACGTACAGGCTAAAGAGACCATCTACATGGTATTTTATTTCAGTGGGATGTTTCATGTTTTGGGCATCTGGTGCCCTGCCAACGTGATATAAAAAGGGTGAAGTGACAGGCTTGATGCCGCTAAAAACGATAAGCCTTCTGCATGTGAAGTCTTCATACTCAGTTTGACTCTGGTTGCTCATGCCAGGGATATGGGATATGTCTAGGAGACAGGACCTTTGGAGGTGTGTTGGTGGCACCTAACTCTCTGGTTAGGTCATGTGGCCAATTTCCCTTTATAACCAGTGGTAAGAGAAGGTATCTGCAAGAGGAGTCTAACTACATTGCTTGAATTATCTTATGAAGTTAGGAGGGAGCCTCAGGACAACTTTTAGCCAAGTTAAGCATCTCAAGCTTGCTCTTGAGAATATATCCCTGTAGGGCTCTCAGCTCTCTAACCCAGGTAAATACATTGCCACTGCCTTAGGAATTAACTCTCTCCACCAGAGACCTTTATTTTGAGCAATGGAAAGGAAAACAAAGCAAAGAGGGTAACAGAAAACTGCAACAGCCCTTAGCTGGGTCAAAAATAGGTGGGTATTTTCGGTCTATGGAAAGGTTTGCCCCTCCTTCGAAAGAAGTCCCTACTGAGTGGAAAAGGCTGATCTGGTGTTTTCGTTTCTCTGTGTGGCGTTCCTCTTTCAACCCTTCAGCGGGGAGTCCTACTTCCCTGCCAACCACAGTGCCTTCAAGACCTTTACCAGCCAAGCAGAGCCACCATATACCCTGCTGCAGTTACTGATTGCTGGTCTTGTATCTCGAAAGAGCTCTTGATCTTGTTTATAAGAAGAAAAGAGAAGATTTGCTATTATCCTGAGGGAGAACACCACTAGCCTCTAGAGTAAAAAATGGATCTATGGCAGTACCAACACCAGAGTCTTCAAAGGCATAGACTTCAAACGGAACTTTAAACTGTGTTTTAACTGACAGTCATGCAAAATTTTTTTGCTATTCTAGCAATACGCAAAAGGAGAACATTATCTTTCCTATAATCTTTAGATGAAGTGAAATTCTAGAGTTGCTGGGCATGATCCGGTTCCCAAAAGTCTGATGCCATTTTAGATGCTCTAGGGACCTTACCTCGCTCCAGTTGCCAGTTCAAGAGGGCACAGGTCTGCTGGAGGTTTTGTCTCTCATCTGCCACCAGCTTGCTGGCATCTCAGATCCCTTGGACATCTTCTTTGACACTAGATGCCTATGTTTAGGCAGCTGAACTGAGCTAACCCTGAATTAATAGGTATAAATCTCACCGAACATGGATATCTTCCTTAACGCCACATGGAATAAAAAAATGGCCACCTTCAAAATGGTACATTTTTTTTCCTTAACGTTTTGGGTAGCTGAATTTTTATGCAGTGTAAATACAAATCTCTTCATTGATACCCATTTAGTTTTTCTGATTTATCATAAATTATGTATTATTTATGATTTATTTCCACTTTTTAAATGCATGGAAAACATAAAAACAGACAAAGTTTTGATTGGCTCACTCTTGTACGTGTATAAATGTCCTTGTCAAACATTAACATGGAATATCTTTGGGATCGAGCCAATAGCTTTAATGTACAAACATTTATGATATGTGAATTTAAGCGAAAGGGCTGTGATATGCGATTAATGTACTTAAGCGGTAATGTGTCTGCAAACTCAACTTTAATTTCTGGAAAAGCAGGAGGGAAGCCAAGAATCATACAGTAATAATCTTCTGTTTAATTAAATGTAATAACCTGTAAAGAAAGGTGTTTATGACTTGCTACTGAGGAGTGAGCCAAGGATAATCTTATGATTAAAATTACTAGCCTCCACATCATAAATTACTTGGTTGAAATTATAAATGCAATGCAGGCTCCTCTATCATGATAACGATAAACAACTTCAATGGTTAATACTTGTACATATGTAGCCACATGACAGGGATTGTCCTGGAAGCACTGTATGTATGTCCACTATTTTTCTGAAGCGCTTATCAGCTTGGTTCACACTTTTTCCACAGATATGGTGAAGTCTGTTGTCTCAGAGGATCAAATGCCTGTATGACAGGAAAGTTGTGCAGGGAATGAGAATACTGTTTAGTGCAGCTTGGTTGACTGCAGCAGAAAGAAACCATGCATTATTTTGAACACGTGACAAATGGCTCCGGTGGGGTTAGAGCATCCACTCCTGCTTGGGAAGGCAGGCAGCTGGCACTTGTAAGATGAGGCCTTCACGGAGCGAGGGAAGGAGGGAGGAGGGAAGGTTGATCTTGGACAAATCGAACTAGCTTTGCCTGAGCTCCTTACAAGGAGAAATGAAATGAGAAATCAGCTGCTACAGGTACCAGGGACCTAAGGGCATTTTCAGTCTGGTTGTGCAGATCTTTGGAAAAAACTCACTGGCATTGTTAACAGGAAGGTTTGTCAGACCAGTGCTTCCACTGTAAACAATCTTTTGGTGTTAATTGCTACAAAATGTCCTGAACATAGAAATCACTATACTACTCTCAGTGTATTTCTTTCCCTTCAAATAGCAACTGTCCTGACAGACTTAACAACAACAAAAAGCACTGTATTTAACCATAATGTGGTCTGCTCTGCCATAAGTCCTAATGAGGCAATGCATATTTACATGTAAGCAGCTCTTCTTTTCAAAGCAAATATACTCTAAAATACTTTTGAGTTGTAACAGCATCTATCTCTAGTATTCATTATAATATAGTTTCCTCTGCTCATTAAATGATGTGCAGAAATAGAAAGGAGAATGTAGGAACCTTATACAGCTTCAGCTCTCTGGTCTCTTGAGAGAATATCAAGGCTCCAGCACTAAAAATGTAAATTGTCAGTATTTTTTTTTCCAGTTAAAAAATATTACCCTAAACATTTTTCTTAATTTAACACAAGTTTGTGAACATTTTTGCTTTCTACAATATTCTTTTTCGTTGTTGCAGATTTGCCATCCAATAAAAACGTCACCTGACACTTATTGGGACTGCCCATGTAAGGCGGACAACCAATAAACCTGACTTAATGCCTTTGTCAGTATTGCTTCTGGATCTATTTTCTCCCAATCCATTTTGCTGCTTGGAAGGTCTTTAGGAATCATGGTTGATTAGTGCAGTGCGTCAGCCCATTATGCCCTGCAATTATATAGCTGGCCAACAAATCATACGTAAACCATGAAGAAGTTTTAAAAGCGTAAGTGCAACACTTTAGCATTGTCTCTCTATCTATTCTTTGTGTGAGTATGAGCTAGACTTAATTTATTTCATAGCCCTGATTATTTTTATGAAAAACTGTGCTATCCAGTCAGCGTTTAAATACCACTTAGACCAGGTTTTTTCATTACTTTCGGGATTGTGCTGATCTTAGGTTACATTTGCCTCAATCGAAAAAAGGATTAAGTAAATAAAAGAATAAAATGAATAACAATGAACACTTCATTTAAATAAGCAGCTTTGACACATTTTCCTGTCCTTAGAAGCAGTAATATTGGGCTGTTGCTCAGCTGTGAAGGTGAGGTATTTCTGAGGCTGAATATTTCTCTCAGTTTAGTATTTTAGAAGAGATTGCTCAGAGATGAGAAACTGCCAATCATCTTTGCTTAATGAATTAATCATGTTGGTGCCAAATGAGTATACAGTACACTGCTATAGTGTAGACCTGTAAGAGCAGCTTCTCCAGAGAGCTAGGTGCTCATCCTGACAACAAGATTTCCAAGGAATCTGGCCGGTTTGTCTTTTATGAAATTCAAAACGGCAATGAGAAGAGATTGAATTTCTCCCATGGAAATCAGACTGCGCAGTTAGTGGAAGGTACTTGCAAATCTGGCCTTTGGAATCAAATTTAGCCTGGATACGCGAGGAATCAACTGACTTGGTGAAAGGTGGCATCATTCTGGGCAAGGAATTAGTTTGGTTTTGAGTTGTAAGATAACATTTCATTCAATGCAGAGTCTAAAAACTCTGGAACTAATTTTGATTGCTGTAGCTATTATAAGAGAGTTATGTGTTCAAGTTTAAAATGAGGACCCCCAAGATGCTTCTACTTTCAGAGGCATGCAGTTCAAGAAACAACTGTAAAAAGGGAATCATGAAGCCCAAATTTACAACTTTCGCTAGACTAATGACTGAAGTGAATGTTTGATCTTTACTGCTTTTTTAAAGGATTTTTTTGGGGGAAAAATATGTGTTGTCACGATAATCCTCTTTTTACTTCAGGAAAAAGGGGAGTGAGGAGGAAAAATTTCTGAAATACAAATTCTTTTCTATAGGCGAGCTTGAGATTCCTTTTGCATGAGATATTCCTGGAAGCATTTGTGAGATAGAGTAGTTTCTAGTGATGTGATCAGTGATGTTGTAGCTTGGCCTTTCTGTTTTTTTAAAATAGAAGACCTATCCAGTTCACTGTCCTTTACAGTTCGCTCCCTCTAAAAGGCATGGATGGATTTGAATAACATACTGACTATCTGTAATATAGAATTCCTTTGAAATCTGTTTGCTATTATCTATGTATTTAAACTAGTTTCCAGAAATGAATATATGTTGAACAGCTGCTTCTGTGCTCTTCAGGCAAGGCTTAAGAATCGTAATGGGAATCTATACTGCTGCTGCACCACTGTGTCTCTTAAACCTGCTTTTAAGATGTATCCACTGTCACAAAAGCAACAAAAATTGCTACAGCTGTTTCCTGGGGAAAAGCATCCATTTTTCAAATTGTAATTGCCTAAAGAGGATGAGTTTAAAAAAAACCTGATAACATTGAGATACTACTGTGTTAATAGCCAAGGAGAATCCTAGCAAGTGGAGAGAAAATCTTTGACGGCACAGGAACTTTTCTGTGTTCATCAGTAGGTATGGAAAAGCAAAAGACAGGAAATTATATTTCAAGTAAATTAGCTTCAATCCAGTAAAGAAGGCAGATCCACCTTGTAACTTGAAACGTGTAAGTTGTTCTGCTGTGGGGAGGGCAGGTCTGAATCTTTTTCCTAAGAAAAAAGAAATAATACTAAGTGTTAGACAGCTACTATGTAGGCACAAGTGTTTCTTGAGAATTGTTTGATAGATTGGATTGCCAAATTCTAAACGGGTGTGCAAATGAAGGAAGAATCTGGATGGACAGTTATTTTTAATTTCTTAATATTGAGACATTAATGTAAATAACATTACAAATATCTCAGAGATTAGAATCAGCTAGGGCAGAATAGCTATGAGTTTAAAATCACAAATTTTTCGAGGCATTAATATAGACTAATATCATTAAAATCAGCTCATACTTTCATTTATTTCTAAGTTTCTGATTTTAAGGCTAGGATAGTTAAACCAGTGTAATGAAAAGATGATGATTTTTTGAGCATTGCTTTTTGCTACCCCAGGAAAGCAAATTCAGTATGAAGCTAAAATAATGAAGCATGAAATAATGTGACTCAGACTTGCTGAATTCCTTTGGTCAGGTAATAAATGCTGAAACAATTTTTGCTGAAGTTAAAATATTTCAATTTTTATTTGCTTAAATTTAATATGAAAACAAGAAGGGGGAGGCTCCTCCCAGGAAATAAAAGACTTGACCTGAAAACATTTTTCCGCAATTTCTTACCTCATCAGAACACTGCCCTGAAATACAGTTTGTATCAAATGAATACTAACTTTTTTGGGTAAAACTCTGTTAAGGAATACAGATTATTCTTTGCTTTGTATGAAGTACATACTTGATTATTGCTGGAGGAAAAAAAATCTTAAACTCTTACCTTATGTATTAAAAAAAATTCAGATATTTTAAAAAGTCAGTTATTTTAAACTGGCAAAACTTTTATTCATTGGTCATTTCTATGTTTGGCTGCATCCTTGGGGTTGAATTTTGATCAATTATTTCTTTTTATTACTATTTAAGTAGCCCTCAGAAAAAGTAAACATACATCATGTTTTTATTTTGACCAATCTGTTGGGAGAAATAAACATATCTTAGGTGCATTATGTGTCCTATACAGAGATACAACTATCTTGAATTCAAACTCTGGAGATGATTGGATTTTTCTGCATTTGCAGCAATGACCACACTGTGCCCCATCTCCCCGGTTACTTTAGCACATATGTAGAGTAATTCGGGCAACTTACTGTCATGCTAACTTCAACATTCTTGGAGATAAATGTAAGACTCTACTGTGAACTTTCAAGCCTTATACAAAATTAGGGAAAATGATCTGAACACCCTTATGTGCCCCTGGTTAGAAATAAAACCAATGCAAAGGATGGATGGCCTGGTGAACAGGTAATAGACTAAAGCTCGAGAGACCTGGAACTTGTCTTTGCTTCTCATCCGTAGAGTGGCCCTGGATAATTCGTTTCATTTTCCTGCAAGTTTATTCTCCCTTTCCACTCTTTACCATTTTATCTTTTTAGCTTGCTGGTTGCCTGTAGTGAGAACTCCCCTGCTCTCTGCAGGCAGATGGGGGTGGGGTGGTAGGAAACACCAAAGGGAAGTGTTTCAGTTATGGGACTAGGCATCCCAGGGTCTTCATGCAGGCAGGGGAGACAAGCCCTCTGCACTGAGTTTCTGAAGCACCTCTGTCAGAAATCTCCCTCTCTCAGTTACGCTGAAATCTAAGAAAACAGTTTAGGAGTAAGAGTTAGATACCTGAAGAGGGATGATCTGGGTATGACACAGTGCGCTCAGCGTGCCCCAGTGTCCACTGGCATCTGCAGACACACCTGTGATGCTGTTAAATATGGGCAGGGTTTTTCTCCCTTTACCCAGAAGGGGATTAATTATAATAAAATAATTCACTTCTTTGATTTTGTAGAAAATGTATGGAAAGGAACAAACTTATTTCTGAGTTGTGAGTTTTCTCTGGCACGCAGAGCACTAAGGGCTGGCTGAGGGGAAGGGACATGCATCTCCTGTGCTACACAAACCCTGTATATAAAAAGAAAAACAGATACATTTTCACACAAAAAAGTATATTTTATTTAGTAATATCCGTGAGAAATGTGGTTCTTCAGAACTATGGAGGAACAGTGAGCTACTTCTGTTGTTAGACTGAAATAGAAATCATCAAGTAAGGGAATATCTCATTTGTGGCCATCAAGGGTAGTAAGTGATGCCTCTTCTGCCTTTTCTGCTCTCATACTCTGCCTGGCACTCAAGTTTTGAGCTTGCAGTCACTATTTAGGCTCACGTTCTCCAGATACTGCTGGCCCTATTATACTATATATATGTATGTATGTATGTGCGTATGTCTAGATGCACATTTGTTATCAAGCCTGTATACTACAAGGACATTGCCTTTGCGGAAAATGTTCTCCAAAATCAGGAGTGTGAAGGCCAGATCCTCTGACAATATAGAGCTGCATCGTTCCATGGGCTTTTACTTCTACTTCAAGTGTGGCCTTATGAATCACTACCAGCATTACTAAACGTTAGGGGGAAAAAAAGTAGCCTTGAAAACTTGGTCAGAAACCAGATGCAGACATTACTGTCCAATTTGGTGGTGTTCAGACCTGCTTGAGACTGTTTGGTATCTAAAGTGGAGCCAGTGTGTGTAAAACTACTGATTTGTGTATAACATTAGAATTGAGAATATACCATATACTTTGAATTATGAGACAGTGGAATGTGATCCCAAACCTCATCCAAACATATCCTCGTCCAGCCATCCTGGCTTGGAAAAGTTAATCACAAGGAAACAACTCACAGACTGGACTCAGCCAGTAGCTGTCCTCTCAATAGGCTGTACTGCGGCGTGAGACGTGATGTTGGCAGAACTGGCTTTACGTGTCTTAGCAGTCTGACTGAAAATAAATAACACCCTCCTCCTTTTTTCTCCCCTTGGAACAGAAGAGAATGAGGCAAAGAGTGCTAAGAGCAACATTATATTTCAGATAACACACATAGCAACCAAAGCCTTTTCCATCATCAAAACTAGCATAAAGGAACAATCTTCTCCCTGAAACAACTAGTTTAAAAGTATGTGCTTTCTCCCTTCTCTTCTCTTCCTCCTTCAGATCCCTTTTTTCAATTACTGCTACTCTATGCAACAAATAATGCTCTTCTTTGTTTCAGTTATATCTTCACTCCCTTTGTATTCCTTCATTTGGAAGTTTGATCCTTTTTTCCTTCTGTCTCAAACTCCTCATCGTTTCTTTCTGTGTTTCCATTTGTGGAGCATGTGTCACCCTCAGCTTTTGTCTCTGTACTTATCTGCACTTGGCTTCCAATCTCCCTTTTTGCTCTGCTGATGGCACAGAAGATCTCTAGAGGTAGATTTGTTTGTTCCCTGTTCCTGCAGATAATGTGCAATTTCTACCTTTTCTCAGCCCACTTCAAGCTCTCCGGGAGTGGTCTGTGGCACGCCCTTTCCTTTACATCCATCTTAGACTGTTTTAAGGTCCCCATGATCCATCTATCTTTGGTTTCACCAGGTTTCGAGTGCAGCAGGCTAGCATCCTGCATCCAGAGTACGCTGGCCACCTTCCTGTAGAAGCAGCTGTTGGAGAAAAACTGAGATGTGGCAGCTGTGATAGGCTTTAGTTGTGAAGAAAACACTTTTAAGAAAGACATGGGAAGCATTTGGGAAATAAAGCTCTTTTCACGCAGTATTGCTTACAAGTTCTATTTGTCATTGCCAAGCAAATGGGAACTGAAGCCCAAAGCAGGTATTTCAGGATTTGGTATCCAACCTTTTTTCAGTACTCTAAGTAGCAGCCAGAAGAATGCTCCACCATAATATAATGATGATACCCAGTTTGGACCAGTGAGCTTAACTCCTGCTTGAGTTCAAAAGGAATCTGTAAAGAAGCACTGTCCATTTTGCATTAGCCCTACAATATCTTCTGAGTTAAAAAATGAGAAGTATCTTGGATATGCATCTGAATGAGGGTGGGAGGAAGATAGTGTTTCCAGAGTAGTTTTTTTTTTTTCTTAACTTTTATGTCTGTGTTATAGTTATTAAACTGTAATATGCTGATCTCATTTGCTCTGATTTAAGTTCCCTTGAAACTCTCACTTAAACAGTTAAACAGATTTTATTTTGGCAGCAGAGGTTACAATTCCCAGAAAGAAGGATCCCAAGCAAAGCCCAGTGTGTAATAATTTCAAGTAACTGTTTGCAGAAATCCCAATCTCCTTTCTAATCTATAAAACAGGTTCCTTGTGACATTTTTATACAATAGTTGTTTTTTTAACTGAAGTTTTCTTTCTTTAAAAAATTTGGGAGCAAATTCTCTTTTTCACCTTGAAACAGAAATCATTGAGCGTGAAGAGACACTGGGCATATTGTTAGCTGTCAAAGCCAGATTTATATGTATCTTGTATATGCATTTAACCTCTAGACTGAAAGTGCAACAATGAGATAATAGAAGTCCCTTTTCTGTTTTGGGTTCAAGTATCCATTTGCACCTCTAACTCCTTTTTGCACTGCCCTTAGAAGGAAATTCTTCTTATTCATGCTGTAGGCAAAATCCAGCCCAGGAGGATGAACTGAGGCCTGCCATACTGACTAAAGCCTGTATAAATCCACGTTGTGGACCAGGAATTTTTTCAGTAGAGCTTTTATTTGCCCACTGAATTTTACCTTGAATTGATATTGTGTGACTGAGACTGAGGGTTGAGTAAAGTGTCTATTTGGGTAAAATCAAATTGAAAATTATTTTTCCACCTACAGACTGTGCTAAAGCAAAGCACATAAGATATTCTATACAATATTTACAGTATTTAACTCTGTTCTTCCAGAATAATAATGAGAATTGGCAAAGAAAAATACTCTAGCTATTTTCCAGCTGCTAACTCCAGTCCATGAGGCTTAGTTAGGATGTATCTAAACTAATTTTGGAGAGATGTGTTGGTACTCTCAAGATGGCTTTTTCGAATGATTAGCATCTAATGATAGTTTTGTATGTAGAGAAGTTTTAATTTAAAGACCAGCTTACTTGTTTGTTATATAAGTCAAGCTTAATGCTTCTCATATGCATGATATCAACCTGCTTTTAATAA